CTCACCTTTCCCATTTTGAATTTCTCGCCGTTGAATTTGCACTTTTGTTTTCCTGCATCAGCTGTTGGAAGGAAAATAAGAATATAACTGCTTACTCATTCTTTCTTTCTTTTCCGCATCAAGAAAGTCAAGATAATTACTCTTACATTTTCTTTTTTTCTTTGCTGCATCGGCTGTAGGTAAGAAAATTTGAAAGAAAATGAAAACTAAGATTTTCTTTTTTCTTCTTTAGTTGTTAGAAATGCAGACTTATTATATTCACCTTTTCACAGTCACACACTATCATTCTTCTTATAAAAGAAATGAAAAGTAAGATTTTTCTTATCTTCCCCATCAGCTGTGGAAAATAGAATCAAACATATTTTTTTCACAGTTTTACATCATCTTTCTCATTGTAAAATACCTGATGGCATATTAAATTTCACCCCATATTCTTGCCATTATGTGAAAAAAGCATTACGAAATCCGTCTCGAGCACCGGAATAATGCGATCCTCTTTAGGTTAGGAGTTTCGACACCATTAACGACACGAATTTTGCCCGTTACTGTGCAGTCTATTAACTATACTGTTGATATGACACTCGCACAGGGGAAGTGGTCGAGATTGGATTGTCTAGATTTAGACTGGAAAAGGACTTTGACTGGGGGAGAGGGAGTAGATGGGGAAGAAGGGATAGAAGCAGAGCAAATGATATTGTTGGAATAGGTAGCAAGAAAAAAAAAAATTCGTCAGCGTGCTTCCTGGAGTAAAGCGAGGCCAATTTTGAATCTTTGAGCTGCTACCTCATATTCAAGTTTGTATGCAGGGCAGCTCCTATAAAATACATCATGGGAGCCGCCACAGTAAGCACACGTGCGTGACTGAGCACAGCAATTTGAACGGCCATGACCAACTTGAGCAGCGGTCCATGGCGCCAACATTGAGATTGATGTGGTCGAAAAAGGCAGTACATTCTACCAATATAGAGTTCATGAGTGAGGTCATGTCTACGGAAGCTAAACTTGGCATTACTGGTGTAAGACTTGCTTTGGCCTCTGGAAAGAATTGTGTAACACTGTACTGCAGCTGCATCATAATCGACGAGGCAGGCGAGCAGCTCGTTTTCACAATCCGATTAATTTTTGTAGACAGCAGAGGAGATAGAAGTAGTTCAGATACAAGTATTAATGGAGGAGTGACGTTGGGTAGGAATAGATTTGTCAGTGAGGTCAGTCATGGTAGATAATGCACGAGCTTGGGATTCAGATGCAACTTTTACGAGACGTGAACTATCGGAACGGCTGCGAAAGGAAACTGCCTGTTTGTTTTTGGAGGATTTGTTGGAAGAGAGGGTATTGCCAGAGTAAGGGCTACAGAGGGAATCACAAAGAATCGATCCCACTGGATAGGCCGAAAGAATACTCAAAAGGTTTGCACAGGTGGAAACCGCAGAACAAGGGCGGGAGGAAGAGGGAGTGCTGTGGAGTGAGGTAGTATGTGGGGAGGACAAAATGGATGAAGAGTAGTGATAAAGAAGGAGGGAACAGACAATGAAGAAGATTGCGGCAGGTAAATTTGAATAATCTTTCAATGTGCGAGAGAAGGAAACGGAGTAACAATGGTCGGAGTTGGGTCGGGAAACCAAAGAAGTCAAATTGAGATAGGCTAGTTTAAGACGTGCCAATCCTCAATGCCCTTAGTAAGGATACAAAATCTTTACTGGCCACGGTGAGCCTGAAATAGGTGGGGAAGAGAAACGGTCGACTATTAACTAAGGGAACACTGACCATGGCTCCCCGAGTCTGTTCGGGACTGACACAAAGCTAACTTTTCACCCATCCAGCACTTTTCTTTCACGTTAGGAAAAAGGGATCGGAGAAGATTAGGAAAATGAAATGGGGGGGGGGGGGAGAGAAAATACCATGCAAATCTATTTGAGCAGAGGGCTGAGGCCCACAGTAGGGGCGATCCCCAACATTGGGCCTCAGTCCCCGTCTCTTATGCCCCCACGATAACACCGACATGGAATGGGTGGGATGTAATTTGATAATAACAATCATGATCATAAAAATAATAACAACAACAATAATACTGTTTACCATCACCGTCTGCATCTTTATAAGGGTAAATCAAAGGTCAATATAATCATAACACCACTAATGAAGATGTTAATGATATTGGTGCTTATGATGGTAATAATGATAAAACACGGTGCCTCATCGCAATAAATCGGTTTTCAGAGCAAATACCGTTCCATCACCAATGTCATCATTAGCTGCCCATGTCACTCTTACTCGTCAAATGATAATAATAAAAATGATAAAAAAAAATCGGAAATCAGAATGCAAGAAAAATACATCCTTTAAAAGTACACACATGTAACACAATCAAACTCGCTCACCATACGATACAGTGACCATCGCTAAGATCACCATCATCAGGATCCTTCTTATGCCATTTTCACCATCACCAGCGCACCGCATCTTGACGTTCTGGGAGAGCAATACAAACTGTTATGAAGTTAGCTTCCACCGAGCATACACCAGCTGTCGATATTGCAGAACACTTGTGTAGACTTTTTAATTTTTTTTTCTATTTATTCCAGGAACATGATACTCATCCATCAAACTGTCATGTATGGTATACGCCTCTATGTTTATCAGTGTTATTATTTTTCTTATTGTTATTATCTATTTGTTTGACCCCCCCTCATTCCCTCGCAGGAGACGGAGACTGAGACCCAATGCAGGGAACTCCCCTGCCTAGGGCCTCAGCCCTCCACTCAGCTAATTTTGCATGGTCCTTTCCCCCTCCAGCTCTTTCGTTTCCGTCCCTTCTCCAACCCTTCTACTATCTACTCCCTAAGGTATAAGAGCCATCCTGAAAGGGTGAAAAGCTGACCTTGTGCCAGTCCTGAACGGCCTCCGGGAACCATGGGCACGGTATTCCCTTGTTTTAGTCGCCTAGCCCTTACCCCTCAAGGGGACCCTGAGGGGTGGACTTTATTTCCCTAACAAAGTCAAGGCTTCCCATGACCAGTAATGAAAATGCAATACTCCTATTAGGGGCAATGAGGCTTGCCCCTTCATCAAATAGCCCCACCAATTCACACTCCCGGCTCCCCGACCCCAGGCTCTCCTTTGATCACGACTCTGTACACTACAACTACTACCCACTCCTCAATGCCTATTGGTAAATAACCCACCTAAATCGAGACTCAATCTCCAGAAGACATTCCTACTCTCCCAACTTCCTCAACTTCATCACCTCTACCCCCACAGCCTTCTTTATCAAACACCCCATCCTCCCTTATTACTAGCTTACAGTCTTATTCTCCATCTCTCCGTAATACTATCCCCCTCAACAATACTCTCTCTTTTACACGTCCCAGTCCTTCTACCACCACCAACCCTGCAAATATCTTAAATACTCTATTTGGTCCAGCTAAATGGGACCGATGTTTCGTGATCCCCCTACAGCTCCTTGCTTAGGCCACACTCTGCTCTTTCAACAATGCCTCCAAAAGCAAGTGGACAGAGTCCCTTTCCCTACCAGACCCGATCGTTCCCGTCTCGTAACAGTCACATCTGAAACTGAAGCTATAGCATTATCAAATCTAACCGATTTCTCTGGCAATCCCATTCCTGCAGAACCTCATCCAACTCTTAATACTTGTACCGGAACTGTCTCGATCTCCCCAACAAGCTGCCCTTTGGATATCTATTAGTCAGATTGTGTAAGAAGACTTACTCGGCTGCCTCAAAGACCGTGATGTGATATTAGTACATTGCTACTCCATTCCTCCAAGAGGTCATCGAAAGAAATCCACCAACATTGCCAAAATTACTTCTCATGCACATGACCCTCTCTTTCGTATCTACATTGGTGGACAATCCCTCCCTGTTCGACCATACCAACCCCCTCCCCGTCAGTGTCAAAACTGCTGCCAAACACTGCCGTTCCACAGACCGATGCCCCCTCTGTGCCCAACCCGGTCATAACCGATCAAATTGCTCAGCACAATCACGCATATGTGCTAACTGCAGCGGCCCCTATAATGTATTTTATAGAGGCTGTCCTACTTACAAGTTTGAGTCTGAGGTAGCAACTCTCAGATACAAAAATGGTCTCACTTTGCATGACACCAGACAGGAAGCACGCCGACAATGTTTCTCTCACACTCCCTACTCAAGCAATGTCGTTTGCTCTGCCCCTCCCCCTCCACCCCAAGATGTTCCTACACCCTCCCGTAAGCCTACTTACTTCCCCACTTCCACTTCTACCCCCTACCTTCCCCAGTCAAATTCTTTTGCCAATCTGAATCCAGACATTCCAATCTCAACTACAGCCGTTGGTGGTAAAGTTTTAAGTATTTTAACTAAATTTTTAATTGGTAGGCAGCAGCGTGGTCATGTTGATGGTAGTTTTAGCTCGTTTTCTCGTGTCTTTTCTGGGGTTCCTCAGGGTAGTGTTCTTGGCCCTTTACTCTTTATTTTAGATACAAGTGATAAGTGGTCTGGCATTACTAATAAAATGATGGCATATGATGATGATACCTCTCTCTATGCAAATAGTAGTTGACAGTCTTACTGTAGACCTGATGATGATTCAATCGTGGTGCTCTCGGTGGGGCATGAAATTAAATCCTACCAATTCTAAAGAAATGATTGTGAGTCAGTCTCGAACGCAGTTGGCTCAGCATCCAAGTCTGCTGATTAATGGAGTCTTAAATACTTCAGTGGATAACCTGAAGCTCTTGGGTGTAACCTTTGATTCAAAGTTTATATTTGAATTGCATATTAAGAATATTGCCCGGGCAATTTCATCAGACTTAGGCAAGTGCAAGAAAATCTATGAAGATGACATTACTCGCAGGTGCTTCTTTTCTTTTATTCTGCCTCATTTTGAGTATTGTTCTCCCGTGTGGTTATTTGCCGCAGACTCACACTTAAGACTGATCGTTCTTTTAATTCCATTAAATTTCTCATGACTTAAATTCGGACATTGGACATCGTAGAGCTAATGGGGCTCTTTCAGTCTTATACGAGATTGTAACCGATAATTCACATCTAATTTTTATCAACGTCCAAGAATTACCAGAAGTTCTACTAGTCAGAGAGCCCAGAGAGATTTAATCAGCATAGCGAGTACAAAAGGTATGACACCTAGGCCCGTACTTTTAAAACCTTTCGCCAGGGCTGGCGAAAGGTTTCGCTGGGCGATCCGGAATTACTTTTAAAATCATGCCTGGCGGACGTTCGCCAGGGCTGGCGAAAGATCATATTGGAACAGCCTGGCGAAGCAAAGGCGCAAGAGCTGTTTGAATACCATTTTCTTGCTTTCAAGTTATAAATTAGTAACATGTTTGTGTATGATATGATGTAGGAATCACATCGAAATTCTAAAATATTTTAAAATCATAATTTATTATGAAAAAACGTATATACATATTTTTTTCAAGACCTTCGATGTCCAGTCGAGAGCTCAAGACATCAGCTGTATTCCTACCCCCCACCCCCGAGATGACTTATTTAGATTTAGGTTGTTGTTATTTTGGTTGTAGGGATAATTTTCCTTTCACAAATGTTACCAGAAGTGTTTTTATGGCGGCATGTTTACTTTTGGCTATAGAAACATAGCTGTAGTGCTCCACCGCCTATAATGAGGCGTGTCTAATACCTTTGTAGGCCTACAGTTCAATATCTTATATCAGTTAGGAATAGTAAAATAGTAATGTTTAAACTCTTTTGTTAAAGTATAAAGTTATTTTTTGTATAAAAGTATAAAGTTGATATAGCATAGTATAACAGGCGAACATCTGAGTGAGGGAGGCCTTACTTTTAAACCCAAGGCAGGTGTTCGCCAGGCCTGGCGAACGAAAGGGATCGCCAGGCGCTAACATCTTGGATTCCTGCTAAATCTAGCGCTTCGGCGAATGAAAAAAAAAACGCGAGAAAAAGCAAAAGGTTTTAAAAGTACGGGCCATAAAGTTAACCTTGTTATAGTATAAAGTGTAGTATAGCATAAAGTATAAAGTTAATTTTGTTATAGTATAAAGATATTTTCAACTTCTTTCATCATCATCATCATGGGGGCTGACGCCGACGGGGGCGCATAGCCGCATCCACCCTTCGCTTCCACCTACGAGGATCCCTCATGGCTAGACGCCAGGCAGGGACTCGGCCCATCTCTAGTTCTTCACGGCAGGTTTGGTCGATCTGCCCAAGCCATGACTTCCTCGGTCGTCCCACAGGCCTCCTCCACCCAGGGTTGTCTCGAACAGAGACGACCTGATGGGCAGGATCATCCTGAGGAAAGCGAGCCAGGTGGCCGTATAGCCTGAGTTGGCAGATAACAAGTCTTGTGCCAGTCTCACGGTGCAGCCGTTGGTTGGACACGTGGTCCCGCCAACAGTACCCCATGATCTGGCGCAAGGACCTATTGCAAAAGGCTTCAAGACGAGCCTCCAAGGCACAGGACAATGTCCAGGTTTCGCTACCGTATAGCAAAACTGGCATTATCAGGGCCTTGAAAACCTGTAGCTTGGTCCTTCTGCACAGGTACCGACATCTCCAAATACACTTGTTGAGAGAGTTCATGACCCCTGCTGCCAGGCCAATCCGTCTGCTGACTTCATGGTCTGACAGCCCAGAGTTATGAACTACACTACCAAGGTATGTAAAGCTCTCTGTGACTTCAATGTCCTCGCCACAAGCACGTACTGACTGAACAGGTTCTCCTAACAAGTCCCCAAAATCCTGGACCTTGGTCTTGGTCCAGGAGACCTCTAGACCCAGGGGCTTCGCTTCATTGCTAAATGCATTGAAAGCCACCACTAGGGTTTCCAAAGACTCAGATAGAATGGCAACGTCATCAGCAAAGTCAAGGTCTGTAACCATGATATTGCCCAGCGTTGCCCCACAATGACTGAACAGTAGCTCTGCCCAGTATCCAGTCCATGCAAGTGTTGAAAAGAGTTGGTGCAAGGACACAACCTTGCCTCACTCCTGAACTAACAGGAAAGAAGCTCGACAGGCCCCTACCACACTTTACAGCACTTTCAGTACCAGTATACAGGCTAGCTATTAGTCCAATAATCTTTGTTGGTATTCCTCTCAGCCTCAGGATCTCCCAAAGTGACTCCCGATGCACCGTATCGAACGCCTTCTTGCGGTCGATGTAGGCTGCAAGCAGCCCACGCCCGAACTCACGTCGGCGCTCTGCAATGACTCGAAGCGCGAGGATACGGTCTATTGTGGACTTACCAGGAGTGAATCCGGATTGCTCCAGTCTCTGGTGCCTCAGTAGATGATCTCTGATACGTCTCAGAAGGATGTGGGCGAGAACCTTGCCTGGTATACTGAGCAGTGTGATGCCTCGGTGATTGCTGCAGTCCCAACGGTCCCCCTTCCCCCAGAGAGGGATGACCACACCCCTCAACAGGTCAGGAGGAATGGAACCGGACTGCCAGATGGCAGCCAGGACAGCATGTAACCCCCGTGCCATAGGTTCACCACCAG